AATTAATGTATTTAACTTCAGATTCATTTCTGCTACTATTTGTTAATATCACAAATATATAATTAATCGATTGGTCTGATTAATTGTTTCTTCTTTATTATATAGCACTGAATATACTTCAAGAACAATCCAGATTCACATTAAGAACCTAATCTGAATTTTTCAACCCTGACAAACTCTGTCTACGTAGTTCTGATCCAGAATTGATTGAGAGAAACGTCATATTGAAAACGCATGAATTTTATTAATAATTAATGAGTTAAATATATTCAAAATACTTAGCTGTTAGGGAAATCTGCATAATCAGAAAACCATTTGTGAAGAGAATGTAGTTAGTAATTGAAAAATTACAAAAAAATGATATAAAAGTGATATCATATTAAAATAATGAAATAAAAATAATTTTCATCCCTTGTTAAAAAAATTCTCATTAAATATAAAATCCTCAATTCCATTCTTTATAATAAAATAAATTTGCTTTTGTTTAAATTAAAAAATGTTGATCTTATTTTGTTGTACAAATTTTGCATGTATGCATATTTTTGCCTTTAAATAAATTACACCTATATATTTACGACAATTAAGTTTCTGTGAAAAATAATAATTCAAAACAAAATGAGTGATTTTGAATTTACTTACATGGATTTTGAGAAATACAGCACTAATGCTTCCGAAGAAAGTAATAAAAAGAATATTGATCAAATTGTTCTTGCAAGTGTTCGAGCCTTATTAAATGATGATAATGAAAATGATGACATAGATTAGAGCGAAATTGCCTCTGAAAATTCTGACTTTTATAGCAATTCCTTTCAAACAATACATGATGATATAGACGTAGAAATTGAAAGGACCTCTACGTAAGACATAAATTTAACAGCATGTGTAATTATAGATACTATTCAAGGTGAAATAAAATGTTATAATGGTATAGTAAACTAATGGCGATTAGAGCAAATAGTAGAGACATGGGAGATAGACGCAGATGCAGTTAAAGATGTTAAGAGTAATCTTCATCAGCTTAGAGTATGTTATTCTCATTTTCTTTTCGATCAGAACTAACTTTATGATAAAGGCACGAAATAATCATGTTCGATTGAGCAGAACATTATCTATTTTTGCTTTTACATTTTCTGTAATAAAAAAATGTTTCTTTAGCCATAGTAACAGTTGCAAAAAGCATTCATAGAGCATTAATAGGCATAATATTCAAGTACCTTGTATTGGTATTCATAATTATTCTGCATTTACCGAAGGACCTATCGCAAAAAAATCATTTTTGGGCTATCGTGCATGTTATATCTGTTCAGAATGCTTTCAAAATCAGAGTGGACATTTGTACGAAAGACCAGGTAAAGGCCAAAAGAACATATTGTGTATTGAATGTGAAAAACATTGTGATGATGCAAGTGATGCTCTAAAGCATATCAGAAGATGGATAATATCAGTAGCAGAATCAAATGATAATAAGTTACAAGAAAGACTTCTATCTTTGATAACCCCAGCATTAGCTATTTTTAACAATGGAACCATAGATAAAAGCTCATTAGAAATAGAAATGGTGAAATTTCTAAACAAGTTACTTATTAGAACAGCAATGAGAATGGGAAAAGTTAAATTGAATAGATTAACAGAAAGGCCTCATATGATAACTCCAGAAAAGGCTTCAATAATGGAAGAAAAATTAGGAAGAGAAATTTTATCTTTGTGTTCTGAAATTCAGTGAAATATCAGTCAATTAGAAAAACTAAGTTCATATGAAAACTATTTTGAAGTATTGCCTAAAATCATTTGTGATTTCTTTTAAGCTCTCATCACAGTACTACAACAATGAAAACAAAATGTTGTTAATAAAAAAGACTTCAATGTGGACTTCTCCTAAAATCACTCAATACAAGTCAAATATCAAAACTTACTACTTTACTGACCTTCATGTTACTAACTATCGCTTTTCCTGAAGTGAAAATTTAGCTTTCACACATCTTATAAAAAATGTATCAAAAACCAAAATTATTGCCATACTTATGAGAGATCCTTCGTTTAGCTTGTGTCATATCTTATACTAAGAGACATGAAAATTGTCTTGAAAAACTTAAAATACATCATACAGACCCTAGAGAGAATTTAATCGAGGGATCAAATATTTGGAATTTAGCAGTAATTGACAATATTGATTTTAAAGCTTCTACATTCTCGTATAGCAATATTTTTGATATTACGTGACAAACTTCATATGTAACATTATAAATGGTATTTCAGTTCACTCTTCCTACTTCTCTTGATGACTTAATTGAAGATCATAAATTTGTTAATCAACTACTATTCGGGAGTTCTCAACTACTAATAACCTTTTAATAATGTATGAAAATATTTTGAATATATTATTAAAGACTAGTGTAAATGAATTCGATATGAAAGATGTATATTCAGAAATCATCAAAAAAGTGCCTATAGGTTGTAATACTTTATCACTACCAAATGTTGTGATATTGGAACCTGGTGATCCACCCAACTGCAATGATAATGTTTATATAGCATGTGAAATGTACCATGATGATTTACCTCATGGTGATGATAATCATCTATGTATTGCATGTGATCAAGCAATTTTTGAAAAATTAATCTCCTATAAGGAAATTCACAAGGATACTCAGCTTCTTTTGGGACAGTGGCACAAATCTAAAGATATGTGCAGTACTTTAATTACAATATTCTCAGGATATGGAATATTTAACCTTGCAGTAACCCTTGGTATATGATACTTAGATAAACTTGAATGTATCATAGATTACCAGGCAATATGTCGTATATTAGAATTGATTTGGATTGCAGTCAGAATTGCATTGTATCAGCATATGAAAAAACAAAGGAGAAACTATGAATGATATTTTAAAGGGTAATAATTAATTTATAAAGATATGGTATCTTTTCTTCTGTTAGGCCGGATATTTAATGGATTATAAAATAGGAATTAGAAGAGGAAATTATAGGATGCAGATGTCAAATTTAGCTGCATTCACATCTCTCTTTCCTGCAGCTGGAAAATTTAAGTATGCAAGTTCCATTGCACATTTTTTAGCTCAAGTTCATGATGATTTACAGCTACAAAAATTATTACAAACAGTATGCTCAGTAAATCTTACAAGTAAAGGACATTATTTGGCTTTTGATGAAGCACTTGAAACATATGGCGTAAAGTTTATAAAACAAAATATTACCAGAAATCTTACTGACCAGCTAATCATGATGTCAAAGATTAAGGTAGCTCAGAGTGAGAGAGATCGTTTATTAATACTTCTTACAGAATATACTGATGATATTGTGGTAAGCCAGAATGCTTATGCGATCAAGTCACAGAAAGATTCACTCTAGTCTTTAGTTGAAAAGTTATCATCTGCCTTTGATCATTCAAATTCTACAATGCACCATTTGTTTAAAAATGCATCAGAAATTAATGAAAAGGGTATTAAAAATATTCTTTCTTTTTATGAGTCTGGCAAATCATGCTTTCAACAAATTCTTATGCAGAATGTATACAAATCTGAATCTCAGGTAACTGTTAGATATCGTGCTTGAGATATAAGTCATTATACTTATGTTCAACTTGAAAGTATAAAGAAACAAAAAAGTAATAAAGTAGACAAATCTACTCATCCATTAATTATTCAATAGTATACTTTGTCATCATCACAACAGGTATTACTTTCTGATACTAGCTATCCAAAAAAAATATGTTGTACTACTACAAATGCATAAAAAGCTATACTTGATCAATTATTTGAATTTGAAGAAAAACCACCTAAAACTGCAATATTAAAAGTATTATCAGAGCTTCAAGCTATCTCTTCAGATTGGACGGCTGAAAGAGTCAAACAGTATGTAAGAAATAACTGTCACAAGGTTTAAAAATAAAGTATAACTGATATCTGCGTATAAATAATAAATAAATTTTATTAAAAATATATAAAGATACATTTAGACTTTAATGCATTCGAAATTTCCTTAATTAAAACCCAGAATTCTAATACTACAATATTTTACACATCCTTTGAAATTCCTTATTAGAACTCAGAATTCTGATACTACGATATTTTATATATCCTTTGAAATGTTCTATTATAAAGTTAAATATTTGCATTAGTAATTTATCAAAAAATTTAGAATTCAATATAAAATGATTAAAAATAAAACTTTTTATTACAATTAAAATCCCAAATTTCTATCTGATCTCTTTAATTACCTTATTATTCCAATTCTTTGAATTAACTTATCTATCTTAGTAGAGTCTAAAGAAAAAAAATGGCATAATAATTTCGAATTGAAAACCTTAACTTATCTTAATTTATCTTATTAAATAATGTCTCTAAGCAAATATCTAGAAGTCACAAGTAAAGAGTCTTTATATAAATAATATATTTTGCAGTGCTCTTTATTTACTGCTTTTTAACCAAAAAAGCTGGTTTAAAACTAAAGTATTTGAAACACAAAACTCAGACAATAAAACTTGTCTAAGGTTAAAATATTATTTACCATAAGTTAATCAAAGCATTTTTATAAAAATCATCAGAAAGGACATGTCCTGTGACTGATAATATTCAGATTTAAAATAGTCAATTTTTAGCGAATCACATAGATATGGTTTACCTACCAATTTGCATTCATATCACGTATATTCTAAACTTTTAACATAATTTACATTCCCATTGTTAGGGTGATTATAATATTCAGGATTTGATAGCTATTTTGACATATAAGGCTAAATATTATATGTAACAAGTCTATAATCTTTTAGGTATAATTCTATAAAAGCAACTATATGTGTTACATTATTTAATCATTTCTATAACTGGTCTCTCTTTTTTTCTATCCAAATACTAGGATAATAATAATCATATTCCTTGTACCCTGTGGCCCGTTTGGCTAGATATTCTTTAATATAATATTTTTATTATATGCTTTTTTAATGCAGTTGGCATAATCATTGGTATGCAAATCATATTCTTCTTGAGTCAAAGGATTTATTTTTCATTCACTAGTTAAAAGTATACCTAAATATTTCATCTTATCAGGAGTATCATTATTTCTCACTATATTCCAAACTTATTTTGTCTAACACAGGTCAAAAGAAGACATAACGAAAATATATCAATCACCTAATGATCGCCTGATATGTCTATGATCATAGCCTTATATCTATATGATTGATAATTCTAATGTTTCTCATATATTTGGCAGGAAAAGTTAAATATAAGTTACATATCGAGTATTAAATATTATACAATATTAACACACATATCAGATACTCTAATATCTTAATGATACTTCAATAATGCCTTCATGATTATTGTATGATTGTTTAAAATAAGAGTTCTGATATTAGAATATTTTATTTTGTATACATATTACATATAAAATATTGAGTATTTATTTATTTATTTATTACATATATAATATTTATTGAACAATTTTATTTTTACATATTATCATTACTACTCATTTTCGAGAAATCCAATATGCTAATCATTATGATAAGATAATTAATTCACTCGTTAATATCCCCTACTTTCTTCTCCCTTTCATATGAACTATACGAGTTCGAAATAGTCCATTCAAGAGCGTTGTCTAGTGAAATCGAGTTATCTTTATAAATGATGTTATTATACCATCTCTTTCTATGAACTTTAATGTGTTGTACTAATTCGCTAATTTGATCAGCTCATCAGAGAATTTTTCTTAGCTATGATAATATTAATGATAATTTGTAAATAAATAATAACAAAAAAAATGAAAGTAAGAAAAAAGAAAAAGGAAAAAAAATAAAGACAAACAAATAATTTTATTTACTTACTCTTTGTGAACGCCATTGCTTATCATATACATGAATAATATACATATCATTACTGGTTTTATTTTTCAGTCGAAGATGTTAAGCAATTTCCTCTTTTGCTCTTTCCTCATCGGTTTCTGATACTTCATTTGAGTAATAACTACTATCCGCGAGAATTTTTTTGAGATCTTTCTGATAATTGTTATTAGTTATTGAATTAGGTTTCATATCTATTAGGGTCTCATCATTGGTATTATACATGTGCATAATACCACGTTATCACCTTTCTTTTTTCTTAAATAATTAAAACAAATAAATTAAATAAGCCATATCATGATCTGATACATGATATATTTAATATACTT